GCACTGATTATTGATGAAACAGGTGAAGATTGTTTTCTACCTGATATTGTTGTCCAGTATCAAACTATGAAGCTAGAAAGAATTAGTTTTTATCACCCGAGCTTAATGGCATTGCAGTATCCTCTTCTATTTCCTTATGGTGAAGATGGGTGGCACGGGAACATTAGTTATTCCACAGGATTGGTTGATGATTGTGGTTCCAGTAGTGTTTCACAGTGTGATTTCTACAGCTATCGACTACAGACAAGGTTTGATCAGTCTAGCTCATTACTGCTTACCGGCAAATTGTTTCAACAATATGTGGTTAATGCATATGCTTTGATAGAGGCCGAACGATTGGAGTGGATTAGAAACAACCAATCAAAGTTGCGCATGCACTATTTCTCTGGCCTTATAGATGCATTCTTGCGTGGTGATACTGATCTTAAGGCGTCTGGAAAGCGAGTGATTTTAGCATCAAGCCATACTGGTGGTCCTCGGTACAAGTATGAAAATTTTCAGGATGCAATGGCTATATGTAGGTGGATCGGCTACCCTGATTTATTCATCACGTTTACCTGTAATGCTAATTGGCCTGAGATTCAATTCATGACCGATATGATTAAGAGTGATGGGAGAAAAGACCCAGATAGATCAGATGTGATTGCCAGAGTTTTCAAGTTAAAACTAAATCAACTCATGTTTGAGATAAAAGATAAGAAGATATTTGGAACAGTATTGGCCTGTAAGTTTCTCTTATTCTACCTAACTATCCAGTATTTTATTTTGGTACTTCATTTACTATAATCATATTTTTTCCATATCTGCAGATGTTGAAGCTATTGAATTCCAAAAGCGTGGTTTGCCACATGCGCATATTTTGTTATTTGTCTCCGGAAGATAAATTTGTAACTCCAAGTGATATTGATTCTATTATATCTGCTGAGCTTCCTAATCCTGCTTTAGATCCTGATGGTTATGAAGCTGTTACATCATTTATGATGCACGGACCATGTGGAGTTGCAAACCGAAGTGCTGTGTGCATGGAAGATGGGGTTTGCACGAAGCATTTCCCGAAGCAATATTGTAGTCAAACAGTTATTGATGAGCATGGATTTGCTAAGTATCGGCGACGTGATACAGGAGTGAAGTTTGAGATTAATGGTACCCCTTTAGACAACCGATATGTTGTACCATATAATCTATATTTGCTATTGCGGTTTCAATGCCATATTAATGTCGAATTCTGCAACAAATCAAGGTATGCATGATTCCCAATTTATTTTTATTAGCCCTTACTGTTTTGTTTGCTGCCACTAAGGGAAACTGACAGTTTCCACGTTAATTCAATCCATTTCACGGTACACTTACTATTCCTTTTTTAAGGGGTACACTTACTAATATTATTATGACAAAATTTAATGAACTTTGCACATAATGTATGTAATATTATTACTCACGTAGATTTAGTAACAATTTCTTATTAGTGCAGATTATTCTAGAATGTATTTTGTCATGCATTAGCTCTTTTGTTAACTATTGTGTAATGTGATTTTAATAAGGAAAAAATAAAAACTGCAATTTCAGTAAATAGTTAGGTGCTCTGAATAAATAAATCTAGAAATATGATGGAACTTAATTGGGCATTGAATTCATACTAATGCTACTGCACTTTTCATTTTGAAACTAAGAAGTAGGACTCCATATAATTTTTTTGGTTATAAATTGTACAGATTATATTATATAACTAATATGTCATTGTCTGGTCCCAATTTTTTCGTATCTATAAAATTATGTTATTTGTTTGATATAATATAGGACTCTCCTTAGTCCATTGTTATATAGTTTCATGTTAATGAATGTTAATTCAAGACAAAAAATGAAATCAAACCTTATATTTTTGTTTATCTTATTGTCGATGTGTTTTGAGATTCGTTGAATTTACAAAATAAGAATGAGAAGTATAATGAGTTGTGTATTGACAGGGCAATAAAGTATTTGTTCAAATATATTAATAAACCCGCTGATCGTGCTGCTGCAACTTTGGTTGATAATGACTTACCCAGTACTTCTCATAATGCGTCTAGAAGTTCATCGACCTCAGTGTGCATTGATGAGATCAAAGCTTATATGGATTGTCGGTACATTACATCAGGGGAGGCATGTTGGAGGATTTTCAAATTTGATGTGTATAATCACTATCCATCTGTTGTCCGAATGCCATTTCATCTTCCAGGTGAAAATATTGTTGTCTCTAAGGATAATTCCTCAATGGAAGAAGTTGTAGAGAATCAAGGATCTTCATTATCAATGTTGTTGGCATGGATGGAAATTAATAAGGTCTCTGTAGAGGCACGCAACTACACATATGCTGACTTCCCACAATTCTTTGTCTGGAACCAAAAAGACAAAATCTGGCAATGACGGAAATCGAGGAGGTGCATTGGGAGAGTGTATTACTCTCATCTATCAAAAAAGGAGAAGTTCTACTTGCGTATGTTACTTCATGTTGTTAAAGGTTGTACTTCTTTTGAGGAAATTAGAATGGTTAATGGTGTTTTTCATGAATCATTCCAAGAAGCTTGCTACGCCCTTGGATTACTGGCAGAAGATAATGAGTGGAATGATTGTGTTCATGAGGTATCTACTTGGGCTTCTGGACACAAGCTTCGAGAGCTTTTTGTCACTATTCTAATTCATTGTCCAGTATCAGATTTCAAGGCTTTTTGGGATAAAAATTGGTCATTGTTAAGTGATGATATACTCTACCAGCGTAGAAAAGATTTGAAGCTCCCTAATCTTCAATTGTCTGATGATGAACTTAAGGAACTGTGCTTAATGAAGATTGAGAAGCTGTTACAAAGGCATTGGAAGTCATTAGCTGATTTTCCTGGTTTGCCTACTCTATCCACAGATACTATGGTTGGCACTTCAAATAGAATGATTGCAGAAGAGCTTAATTATAATTGCAGTGAGCTTCGATCACAATTCAATGACATGTTTCCTAAACTCAATGCTGAACAAAAGACGGCGTATGATGAGATTTTGAATTCAGTATAGGATGATAAGGGATTTAGCTTCTTTGTTGATGGATTCGGTGGCACAGGGAAAACATTCTTATGGAAAGTAATTTGTTTGATGCTGCGTGCAGAGGGTAAGATTGTGTTGTGCGTTGCCTCATCAGGTATTGCTGCATTATTAATGACCGGTGGACGAACAGCTCATTCTAGATTTCACATTCCAGTGGATATTCACTCCAAATCGACATGCCATATTCAACAAGGTAATGATTTGGCTGAGTTGATTCAAAAGACCTCTCTGATTATTTGGGATGAAGCACTGATGTCCCATAAGCATTGTATTGAGGCTTTGGACAGAACTCTAAGGGATATTTTACGTGTAAAATATCCTAATTCTGAAGAGCTGCCATTTGGTGGGATGACTGTTGTACTTGGAGGAGATTTTCGTCAGACATTGCCGGTAATAATCAAAGGTACACGATCTGATATTGTTAATTCCTCAATTAAGAAATCAAAATTGTGGAACCATTTCAGAGTGTTGAGGTTGCAGAAGAATATGCGTTTGGTTAGAGATGGGTTCTCAGCCGATGAGGTTCGAGAGCTCAGCGAGTTTAGCAAATGGATCCTTGCCATAGGGGATGGCGAAGAGGCAAATATTTTTGGCGAGTCCATAATTTCTATTCCTAAGGAGTTCTCTGTTGAACGCAAGTTGGACCACATTTCTGACATTGTTGGTGTGGTCTATGGAGGTTTAGCATCTCATGATTCTGATTCACGGTACTTTGATGGTCGTGCTATCTTAGCTCCTCATCATGACATGGTTTCTGCAATAAACAATTATGTCCTTGAGCAATTCCCTGGTGAAGTCATGTCATACTTTAGTTCTGATTCTATTGATATGGATCCTGGAAACCAAAATGTGATTGATTCTGATTACTCGACTGAATTTTTGAACTCATTGAAGATTGGGAACTTTCCTAATCATGAGCTGAAACTTAAGTTGGGATGTCCGGTTATTCTATTAAGAAATGTGGATCAAAGTCGTGGATTATGTAATGGAACTAGACTAATTGTGAAGACATTGGGGATGTGGTGCATCGAATTGGAGATTATTTCAGGGTCGCATGCTGGTGACAAGTTTTTTTTGCCTAGAATGACTTTGACCCATCATTATAAAAGTTTGAACTTCACATTGGAACGCAGACAATATCCCATTTCATTGTGCTTTGCAATGACAATAAATAAGAGCCAGGGTCAAACATTACAGCATGTGGGTTTGTGTCTTCAGAAGCAAGTTTTCTCCCATGGTCAGTTATATGTTGCATTGTCTCGGGTTACAACGAAGCATGGAATCAAGATTTTGAGCTGTGATGCTGATGGCATTGAGTTGTCAAGTATGCAGAACATTGTGTATCGGGAAATTTTTGACTAATTCTATGGCCATTATTTGCTTTCCAATTATTTTTTGTATAGAACACTTTAATTTAGATGGTACTGATATCACTTGATATTAGCTTGATTGGTTGCTCATTGATTTCGAAAATTCATGCTCATTAGAAATCCATAATTAAAGACAACAATGGAGGGTTTGTCTGTTTAGTTTGTGGGCTTCATAGTTCCTTCTTCATGCAAAATCTTGGTCCCCATGGGCATATCTACTATACGCTCCTTCCTGCTGGCTACATTGGCTAGACTTATGGGTTTAAGACTCCCTACGAGATCCTCCCTCTCACTTTGGGAAGCTTTTCTGAAAGTTCTAAGCAATATCACTGGTTTAGTCCTTGAAAAGATATCTTTGCCTTTTTTTCATCAACAACACCCCTTTCTATGGCATGATCTTGAGGTGCTATTGTACCATTTATAATCTGTCTGACCTGTAGATTTGGTGCTCATAACTTTGAACAGATGGTGGACTTCTGGACCCTTAGCCACCTCATCTGGCAGCTGAGGTCCAACCATGTACAGAGAAGGCAGCACAATGGGTCCTAGAGCGAAGGAAACGTATCCATTTCTCATGTATTCGTCGAGTGTTGGCAATGTGTTGGTTCTTGACCATTCTGCTTCTTCCGGCATTGTTCTCAACACACCCACCCACTAAATAGAGAACATTGGATTAGAACTACGTACAATTCAAGAGCTGTATGTCAGTAAATAGATTAGGCAACAAGGTAGAATAGATGAGACCACTTACAAGTTCAACAACGTGGTCCATGACATTACGCCCCTGCTAGGCAAATGCATTCTCCACTGTCTCACAAATAGCACTGTGAAGTGCCCAGTAGAACGTTTTCACTTCCTCTGTACAAAACTCTGCCCTGGGGCCATTCACATCCCACCTCTCAAAGAGCTCCAGGAGGTTAAGGTGCTCCTCTGCGGTCCCAAAGATGTCATAGAAGTCATCAATGAGAGAGGTGAGAAGGCTGTGCTTGGCCCACGAGATGCGGGCATCCGAGAGCTCAGGGTCGTAGTAAGTAGCTGCAGCTGAGAAGTAGCAGTATCCCATCTTCACTTGAGTCTAATGGGAGGTCACCATTGGCAAATCTTGGTTAACTGACCCTTTGCAAAGCTGGTCGTCCACCACCAACTGAAATACAGATGAAGGTATAGTCAGAAATGGGTGGAAATCTTTGAAAAGCAATTTCAGTGAGCCGGTGCAAAGTACTAGGTTGTTTTTCTTGACATCTAAGTTAAAAATTAATATTTTGTAATTATGTTCATATATAGGTGGAGCCCCATGTTATCTAAAGTTTAGATGTAAGAAAAAATTGAAAAGAATGCTTCTTTAAGCTAAATATCAAGTTCTGGATCAAGGTCAAACAAACATAGGCTTCATATGTTGATATACAACAGAGAAGCTCTACAAGTAGCTAGAGACATGTTAATTTACCTAAGCACTGAAAGTCATTTATAAGTTGACTGGTTATAATTTTATATTTATAACTTAGAGGCTTTTTCTAATTTATCTGAATTTGGCAGGTGGTTTATTGCTAGAATAATTTTTTAATTGAACGTGGTTTCAGTCATTGAATAAAACTCCAAAGATCATGCCCATCAACTCCACTACTTCCGAAAATGAAGAAGGAGATTGACAGTTATTTTATTATTCCTCCTGCTTTCTTTTGTTGTTATCTGCTTTCTCATCTCCACCTATAAATACATTCCGGAGGAAGAAGTATTTGGTCATTTACCATCTTATTCACAACAACAATCCAAAAAGATCATTAACACATCAAGGCTTATTATCATGGCTGTTCGTGCATTGGCTGACTTAGATGTTCAAGATGTGGACTGTACAGTCCATGTTCGTGTTCTGCGGAAGTGGAATATCAAGCAAAGGGGGAGTGATGAGATTGGTTTTGTGAACATGATTGTTACTGATGCTCAAGTACGTATTGAATCTCTTTTCTATATTTGTTTTCCTTCCTCCAATGATGCCTGTGCTAATGCTTTGGGTTTCTATGTGCAGAGCTCTAAAATGGAAGTGGTCATCCATAAAATTCTAATTCCAAAATTTGCACCATCTATTCGGGAAGGAACCATCTACAAGCTGGGTCAGTTCTTGGTGCAAAGGAACACTACTGCATTTCGAGTCACTGCACCGAAGTTTCGTATCGTACTCCTCCCTGACTCGGTTTGTGAAGAAATGGAGGATTCTGCTGCCATCCCAAAGTTCTGTTTTCGGTTTCTTAAGACAGGAGATTTGAAGGAGGCATTCGAGCACCAGGACTACTTATCTGGTCCCAATTTGTTTTTTACTTTACATTCATTTTACAAGTTGTTTCTCTACTTTTGATTTCATTACCAGGTTGATTCTGTGTGCTGCAGATTTAGTTGGTGAACTGGTGCAATGCGATGCTACACAAGTTCTAGGTGATAGCATGGTTCCAATGAAAAAAAAAGGAAGTCCAAATTCGCTTAATTGAGTGAGTTTTGGAATGGATTCATTTTTTAGCTACACGCTTGGCTGTTCTATCCTAGAAAGATTTTTAGTTTTTGATAATATTCTGTTCTGTTGCGGCAGTGATGAAGTTGTGAAGGTCATTCTTTGGGACTCACTGGTCGACCAGCTTGACAATGTTCTCACTATTGAATCTGAAACTGGAGCAGTGGTCATATTCACTTCTGTTTATGTTCATAAATACCATGGTTAGTAACTTTCTACTCCACTGATGAATGAGGTAAAGGCCTATCTCATTTTTCAAATACATGTTCTTCAAATTTTCTTTCCATTGCAGGTGAGTACTACTTTTCCACCTCCTGTGCTTCCAAGTTGTATTGGAATCTTCACTATCCAAGAGCTCATTCTATGCTTGATTTGTACGACCCTTATCCTTTTATGATTGCTCATTCTTTAACCTGATCTGAGCTTTAATAAGATTTCATTTAATTTCAATTCAAATGATTTTGCAGCAGCAGCAGAGGTATTCCTCGCAAAGATGGAGAAATTTGCCAGAGTTTTATTGTCCCAACTTCTGTCGGGTTACTGGAAGCTTTGAACGTTGATTGTCCAATTAAGGTCTTACAAAAACCCTGTTTTTCTTAGTTCCTTTCCTCAAATGCAGTTTGTTTCTGAGATGGCTAGGCACGTTATAATCTGTCTCACTTTATTTATTCGTCAATTTCAGGGCCTGACCTACAACATAGCAGCAGAGGTTACTGAAGTGAATGCTTTTTGGTCTGACCGCCAGAATGCCTTTATCACCCAACTGCTGGTGAAAGACGACAATGATTGCTGTGCTTTTCTCTTCAAAAGCAATGCATTTAGGTCGATCTCAGATTCTATTTTTGGGACAGAACTTCAGTTTGAGAGGTCAAGCTTCGAGGTCAACTTGAAGTTACTGAAAGGGAAGACATTCCAGTTCCTGATGAAACCTGTTCCACACTTTTATAGAGGCTGGAGCAGTTCACTTTGTGGTTCTGAAAATCATGAGTGGCTAAAAGAGTAGCATGGAACGAATTGCAAGGCCCATTGTAAATATTTTGCATTTTAGGGATTTTCTTGGCATTCTGATGTTTTTTTAAGGATAGGTTGTTTATCATTGAAACTGTTCTTCAGTTCAGCCATTTGGAGTTCCCAGAGTAGGTTTAGCTTTGAGTCAATTTTAGAGTCGGATTGGTAATAGTTTGTCGTCAGTGTCTTCCTTTGCTTTAATGTGAAGTGTAGTTTTAGATTCTTTGTGTTTTCTTATCATGTTCTAACTTGGATTGAAGTCTCTTCCTCAATGGACTTTACTGAAACTCAATCAATTTGATTTCTTGAAACGGGCCCTAGATATTAGAGTTATGTATGGAGTAAGGAAGACCCACTAAAATTGAGGCCCAATGACTGGAACATCACCAAATTGCATCATTTCCAACTGAAAGAGAGTAGCTTGAATTTCCGTTAATTTTGTTGGATACAGGAGAATTATGAAATTGGAACAATTCTTTATTAGACAGCATGAACTTGATCCTTCAATGCTCCAAAAATGGATCGACTATTGCAACCCTTAGAAATGAGAAAGAATGGTCCATTTTTAGTAGGTAAAGTGTTATGTTTAATTTGGGCTAAATTGAGCCCATCCAAATGTTTAAGGCCGAATTGCTTTTTGGTCAATTTTTTATTTTATTTGCTGCAACCTTCTCTTTCCCCATTCAAGATGATCGAGCAACCCTAGGGATTTCTGTAGAATTCAATCTTCCTCCTTCCTTTATTCTTACCCATTTAGCTAAACCATTACCCATCATTCCATATTTTCCAACCCACGGCGACCATCACTGGCTTCATAGGTACGTGGGTGACGGCCGACGAACCGCAGGGTCCTCATCCATCACTGCACCATGAACTTGACAGGAAGTTCATCGATTCCTGTAGAGATTGGAAGGTTGACATTTTTGGGTCGACTCCAGCAGCTGCCGATCATGAAAATAAGGTGGGGCGACAAGAGGAAACGCCGGATTACTTGGGTGGAGGTTTTCGATTCTGATATGGATGGCAACGACTGCAGGAGCTATCGGCGACGAAGCACAAAGACGCCTCAACGCCTACCCATTAATCTCACCTCTCCTAATTCAATTGTGTGAGATTGAAGAGGTGATTTGTCGGCGATTTGAACGGCCTTATTTTCAAGGTTAGTCTTCAACATTTATCGGCGTATTCCAAGGGAGGCTCTACATCAACTGCCGCCATTGCCTAAGAGTATTCAAGGGCGTTGGTTGACGGTTATCTCCGCCTTCCAATGAACCACGATCTAATTAACTGCCTGGGTTCCAGTATTTGCGTCTTGAGGAACATGGGTTTGGCGGTTACGGGTCCGGCTAGGCTATAAATTGTGAGTTTTAGGATTGCACATTGTTTCCGACTTACGACCATAGAAGTTACAGAGAAAAGATGGCGCCGCAGCTGTTGAAGGATCTAGCCACCCATTCCCGCAAGTGGATTATTCAATGTCGGGTGGCTCGGAAGTGGATTGCAACTAACTGCAACACAGGAAAGGTTCTGCATATGGACATGGTGTTGATCGATTCTGAGGTAACCTTCTATCTCCATTTAGTAACAAAATCTTCGGTTTTAGAAGATCTGAAACATAATCCAAACTGTTTATACTTATCAGGGGTCGGATATTTGGGCCATGGTTCCTCCTCTCTTGATTTCAAAATTTGAATCGAGTCTGAAGGAGCAAGAAGTGTATGAGATTAGGCATTTTAAGGTTGCTTTGACGAAGAACTCATTTAGGCCAGTCCCCAACCGTTTGATGATTGAATTTGATTCAGCCACCTTAGTCCAGCATGTTCAATCAGTTCCAAAGATACCATTCCACAAGTTCTACTTTCTGAAACAAGCTGATATGATGCAGAAGTTGTATGATAAGAAGAATCTTTCAGGTGGGGTGTTGTGTCTTTCTATTTTCATGGGAAATCAGTGCACGTTTTAACTAAAAATCTCCTTCTTGCTGCAGATGTGATTGGTCAATTGATTGACCATTCATCAATAACCTGAAAAACCTCGGCTACAAAATGCTGGAAAGAGATCACAATAAAACTGATTGAGTTTGACTCTTTAAGCCTCGAAATTTATTTTGAATTCAATTTGTTTGTTAACCATGTCCCTGACTTTTGACTTTTGTTTTACACTGATCAAACTTTATACCAGAGGGGATTTGGTCAAAGTCACTTTATGGGGAAGTATCGGCAATCAATTGGAAGACATACTCTCTCGCAATGAAGGGGAAGCTATCATCCTGAGCATCACTTCTGTGTTTGTAGACGAATTTAAAGGTTTTGGACACTCAATCTTGCTTCATTATCTTTGTTTGCAAGTGTTAAATTGGAAACTAACTGCATTTTTTGTTTCTTCTATAAGGGGAGCTTTGTTTGTCATCAACAGGAGCTACACAACTAAAGGCCAATCTGGCTATTCCGGAAGTGCATGCCTTTAATGTTGGGTATGTGGTCTTATGACAGTACTCAGTTAATTCCGATACTCCTTACAATAATAACTCGAATTTGATGTGTTCCTGCTTTCTATATTAAGAAGGCTTCCTTGACTCTTAGTGACATTTGCAGGCTCCATTTTGAATCATCGTTATATTGTTTTATATGTATACCATTTCAGTTTCGATAATGCTGCTGGGTTGGTTTTAAGTTCAAGAAATGATGTTTCCTTATAAATTCAATAGCTTCAATTCCTGAAGAATTATAATGCTTTTTTCCTTTAATTGGTTGTCCTGATCTGTTTCACAAAGGTTTCCCTTAATTTGCTCCTACTTTTAATGGGTAAAAGAAAATCAACGCTTTGAATGGATACTCAGACTGTAAATAGTCTTAGTGGAAGTGTTTTGCTGATCATTTCCTGCTTAATGTTAAGGACAATCCGGGTTCAGTTCTTCATTTTCATCTACTCTGTACTTCTTTAACTGTAAAATTCCAACTACTTTGTGTATTGCTTTAATTGTAAAATGAACAAACAGTTGAGACATTTTCCACTCCACTGATTGGATTATAGTACCATTGTTTCAGTTCTGGACCAGGTTCTGTTTTCAAAGGTGGGACATTGTTTTGCTTTATCGATAATAGCCTTCAAGTCATAATGCAAATTTAAAGCTTATTTGAGACTACTACATCTCTTTTGCTGACTGACTTTTTTTTGTTATTTCCTTTCTTTCAATTTGTGTCTGGTGGTAAAATGTTGTTGGCTGAATCTCATTTTGAAACTAACTTTTGATTTTACTTTAGGGAATCAACTCTCACAGCACCTGTTTTGATTGCTGAAGTCCCTCCTGTTGAGATCCCAAAGATTTCAATTGCTCAGCTCAATGATTTTAAAAGCATGGAGGAACACACTGTAAGTGTTTTTCCTGTTTACCTGCCAGCCTTACAACCTGTCCAGTTTTCCTAATATCAAATTTGACTGAATTTCAGGACAAATTGTTTGCGATTGAAGGGAAAGTCATTCAAGTACGCCCTAATTGGTGTTACATGGGATGCGTTGTATGTCCTCGCAAGGTGGAAGAGGATCTGGAAGAGTATTTTTGTGGCCACTGTAAGACCACATCTTCCATTGCTAAAGCCAAGTAAGTGAACAATCTGAATCTTGCTTTCTGTGTTATATGCAAATTAGGATGTTAATTGATGATATGGAGAAGACAAACTGATTTAAGAGCTGGCTGCATTTTATTTCTTTTGTCTAGGTTTAGAGTGAAGATCCAAGTGCAAGATGATACTGGAGAAGCCGATTTTGCAATTTTAGAGCATGAAGGTGTTCGTTTTTTTGGAGTGATGGCAGATGAGCTATTCCAGTCAAATCAGCGACAAAAAGAACCCATTCCATTGCATATCCAACAGGTTCTTAACATGATACTGAAGCTTCATGTTCGCCTCACTCAGTTCAATTTCGAGAATCCGCAAGCTGAGTATTCTGTAGCTACCGTTGATCATGACCCTCTTCAGGTAATTGATTAAGCAAATAATGGAGTTTTCCTAAAGGATAGCAGCTAATTTGTTTGGTTTACGGCTTCTGATTCCTCTTAATTTGGTTGCAGCAAGTGGCTAAGATACCTGATCCTGACAGCATTGGAGGATCAACCTCTTGCGGGTTGAAAAGGAAGCATGATGATGACGCTGAACTTGAGGAAGAATAGTATTGCTGGAGATTTTGTGACCTCAAAAGCCACAACTTGCAGATTCTACTTAGTATTCTGTTTAAATCTATGGGACATTTAGTGTTCTGTTTTCATTTACTTTGAGACTCTGCTTCTATGTTCATCTCTTATGGATTGTCTCTTTTCATTACTTTCCATTGTGGAATACAGTAATGATGTTTGGTTGGCCCTTTTCTCAAATGTTTAGTAGTTTATTCACTTATGACATATGGCCTTTCCTTCTTCAACTTTAATTGATCCTTTGAAAATCAATTTCAAGTTTAATGGCGTGTGAATATAGCTTTCTATGCTATGACTGATAAGTGTATTAAAAGCTTTGCTGCATTTTTTTTATGTTGCTGTATTTATTATTATTCAAAGACATTAGGAGTTTGATGTTGGAAATGGTATGGATTTGTTCTGTGGACTTCATTTGATATTGAAAATGGTATGGATTTGTTATGTTGATGAAATCAAGTCTGTGTATAACTTTAATCAGCAACTATTTGATTGTCCTTTCTCAATAATGGCAATGTTTTACCATATTCATTCTCAGACTGTGTTTCACTTTTGGTTTCATGGACTTAAGTTGCTATATTTACTTTCATGCCTTTCAACATGATGTATTATAGAGATTAATCATTTGAATTATGAGCGCGGCTTCTTGATAAGAAAAAACTTTATTTATAAGTTGCAATTTCTTGAATCTAATTGATGGAGTGTTTTATACATTACCCGGCCAACGGGCCGGGCACGATGCTAGTCTATTTATATGCTTCTTTTCTCTCCGTAAAGATGCTCAATTTGTGTATTAATCTCTCTATGAAGGAATGGTGGTAATAGGGTTGGGAAGACAATCCCGATTTTAAGGTCAAATAAAAAGTCGGATTGTTTAACCGATTTTATTATACTTAAAAATATGATTTGCATTAAAGTCCCTCAGAAAATGAATGTAGGCAGTAAGTCGTAAGACGATAACCTTTTTGTTTTCCTAAGTTGTGATAAGGGGACTACTTTTCCTTATGGAGGAGAATCCGATTAAAAATCAGAAAGCATGAAAAATGATTTGCATTAAAGTCCCTCAGGGAATGAATGTAGTCCGTAAGAAGGTAACCTTTTTATCCATCATATAGAGAAGTTTCGCGAAGCTCTGGATGCTTGCAGTTTGGAGGGCTTGGGATAGATTGGTAATGACTTTACCTGGAATAATGGACGAGTAGATAAAGGCTATTTGGAAGAGAGATTAGACAGGGCTGTAGCAAACAACAAATGGAAAGAGCTGTTCAAATAATTTGCGCAAGTTTTCCACTTGGAAAGATGGATTTCAGATCATCTCCCCATTAATATTGAATTTTTCCTTAGAGAAGAGAGAACTAGATGGGACTGGCAATTCCTTTGTGAGGAATACTGGCAAAATCATGAGGATTGCCCCCAAATAATTGCCAAAGAGTGGCAAAAGGCTCAAGGGAATAACATGGAAGAGAGGATCAAAGCCTGTGAGAAAACTTTGCTGAAGTGGAGTAGGGAAACCTTTGCAAGTATAAAGCGCATAATAAGAAAGGTTGAGAGGGCCCTGAAGACATTATCGAAAAGGAAGAAGAACCAAGCCTTACTGCTACAACGAAGAGAACTGGAAAAAGAGTTAAGTGAACTTTATTATCATGAAGAGCTGATGTGGAAACAACGTTCAAGAGCATATTGGCTTAAGGAGGACGATAAAAAAAATTCCATCGAAAAGCTACTGAAAGACAGAAGAGAAACACAATCACGAAAATTCAGGGAATTGATGGTACAATTTTGAAGGTCAGAAGGTGTCATGCGGAGGATGGTGAAATATTATCAGATGTTGTTCACAGCACGTCCGACTTCACCAGGGAGTGAAGTAATTGATGCAGTTAGTAGGAAAGTAACAAAAGAAATGAATGCTTACTTGTTAAGACCGTTTTAGGAGGAGGAAATCTGGGGAGCACTGAAGCATATGGCTCCTCTGAAGGCCCCGTGACAAAATGGCATGGCTGCCCTTTTTTCTAGAGAAACTGGCCAACGGTGGGTCCTGTACTCACAAAAGAGTTATAATCATTCCTTGAGAGTGGAACGATACCAGACAGTCTAATCAGACTGTCTTTGCCCTAATTCCAAAGACAAAGACACCTAGAACACCCATGGAATTCATGCCAATTAGCATGTGCAAGGTTTTGTACAAGATTTTCTCAAAAGTTCTTGCAAATCGACTTAAAAAAATCTTAAATGAGGTAATTACAGAAAACCAGAGTGCCTTTGTTCCAAGTAGATTCATAACAGACAACGTGATGGTTGTTTTTGAATGCTTCAATGCGATGAAGAATAGGGGAGTGGGGAAGAAATGGTACGTTGCGGCCAAGCTTGATATTGCAAAAGCTTACGATAGGGTTGAATGGGATTTCTTGGAATGAATCATGCTAAAGATGGGGTTTGATAGACAATGGGTCAGCCTGATCATGCGATGTGTTAGAACAGTCTCCTATTCTATTCTGGTCTATGGCTACTGATCTGGGGTTATCGTTCTAATCTGAGGTTTAAGGTAGGGGGATCCTATTTCCCCATATATTCCTAATGTGTGCAGAGGGATTATCAGCCATCACAAATAAAGTTGTGGAAGAAGGGAGATGAAGGTATACAAGTGAGTGGTAATGGTCTCATAATCTCTCACCTATTCTTTGCCGACGACAACATATTTTTCTTTGAAAATAAGAAGGATCAAGGGGAGGTGATGAAACCCAGACTTTTGTCAATCATTGATTCACAAGCTCAATCAGAAGGGCGTTATCGAAATAGAGTCGGGGACGGTGGTGGAGGAGATCAAAGCAGTGGGACTGGTGGTTGATGGAGGTTTTGGGGGAGAAACGGAAACACAGTAGCCCACGAGATGGCGAAGATAGAGTGCATATGGGAGGAAATGAAAATTTGGTTTGAGAGACCCCTTTTTTGTTATTTCGTCTTTAGTGAAGGACTGTAATGGCATTTTTCCCAGCTAAATAAATATGTAGATTTCTTTGTAAAAACAAATAAGGGAACTACTTTTCAGGTCAACGTTAAAACTTCTAAATGACTAAACGTCGCCCTAGATTTTTATTATCGCCTTATCGCAAAATAATAAATTACTAAATTATCCCTCATTAAAAAATTAAATTAAAACAACAAATGTTGCTCTCCTAAATTACAGCCGCACATCCACCAAGCCGACCTGATGCACCTCAAACGCCCCTCCGCCGCCGTCGTCTCCTCTCTTCTCCTCACTGCAATTTCCATCGAATCGAATCCCCTCATTGGAATCAATCATTCCCGGTGTGTATATCGTTTGAATCACTCTGCCGTAAGAAAAATTCCCGGCCGCGTGTTTCTCTACTCTCCATCGCCAGAATCAACTCCCAGTCGCGTCTATCGGAATGAGTTAGGATGGTTACTATTTTTTTAGTAACCATGGCGGCTACCTATATCTCCACCCTTCATTCTCAATATTTTTAAAATAATGGCCTTGATTGATTAAGGTTAATTTTGAAAAAAAATATAAAATCACACCGGATTACTATCGTTAAAATATAACTTTCCATATATTCTCAAACCCTAAATAATTATATATCCCCAACCCTAACAAATCCCTTCCACCTCCCCCATCACGACGAACAACCAACCTGTTGCCATCCCTCTTCACGTCCCTCATCTCCACCAACCCCACCCACCACTTTCATTCTCCCTTGCCTTCTCCCCAACCCACCCTCCACCTCTATCTCTCCCTCCCAACCCAACCCCACCCCATCACCGTCTGCCGCTCTTCTCCCCTCCTCCCCAACCTACCGCCCACCCCTCATCTCTCCGTTGTGAAGACATGGCGCCAACAATTTGCCGGATTTCAGATCTGGTTTTTTCATATTGGTATTATTTTTTTACATTGGTATTGATAGTCATGTTATTGTAGTTTTTGTAGTGATGTTATTGCATTGGTATTGATTTTGTTGCATTGGTATTGTTTATGTTGCATTGGTATTGATTATCATGTAATGATATTAATTTGCATGTAATGGTATTGATTAAATCTGCAATGGTATTGATTTTTTTTAATGATATAGATTTATATTGGTAGATTGTTTATATTGGTAGTTTTCGTGTAATGGTATAGATTTATTTTTGCAATGGTATTGATATTTTTCAAAGTGGTAGTGGTTGTCTAATGGATTGGTAGTGATTTCATGTTTTTTTTTTCTTTTGCAGAAAGATTGAGAAAAATAAGGAAATGGGATCTAGCTGGAGATTATGAAAGTGAGAGAAAAAGAGAGGATTGTAATTAATAGATTCTTGTAACTACCTAAAATGTAATTTATTAAAAAAATTAATTAATACAATTTATTTTTCATACCCAATTTACCCTTAGTAACCACGAGTAATCACCGTAACCTGTCCCCGCGTCTATCCCTTCTCCTCATCGCCGGAATCAAATCCTTGCGATCGTCTGTCACAGGTGGGTGTGTTCCTTCTCCTTGCAGTGATTATCATAACGATGACATTGATGAAGGCGGTCGACGGTGAGAATCGACGACGGTCGGTGACCAGCAGTGTGAATCAATGATTCATGATCGAGGGCGGCTGCGGGTAAATGGCAACAATGGTAATGAGGCGCGAGTTTTTTTTTCTTTTATAGATGAGTTAGTTTAGAATAAAATATATCGTAATAATGAAAAAGAGAAGGATAAATATATAATGTTACCATTTAAATTAAGGCGATTATGATAAGACTAGGGTGACATTTAGCAATCGCCTAAAACTTAGGCTCATCAATCAACTGATTATTTATATATTGTAAGAAAAGAAAAATCAAGTGATTAAGTAGTTTTGCTTTAGGGGTCGTTTGGATTAGTGAATGTGATGAGGGATTTATGAGTGATTTTAAAACAATCTCTCGTTATGCAGGATTTTAAAACAATTCTGCGTTTGGAAAGGTGAGAGATTGTGGGCATGAGGAAATT